TTTTTTTTTTTTTTTTTTTTTTTTTTTTTTTTTTTTTTTTTTTTTTTTTTTTTAGTTTACACATTTAGAACGACTTTTGAAAAAAAAATAAAATAAGAATGAATCGCTACCTTAGGACCGTTATAGTTACGATTGCCGTTCATTGGGGCTTTGGTTGTCTGCTTCCCTGTGATGTTCAAGTAAGGAAGAGGTATATGAATGAATTTAGACCTCACTGAATGAGAGTGACCTAATGGATATGAAATAATTGTTTAGATGGGCTTAAAAGAATAGATAGTTACTATCTATATCAATGAAGTATACCTTCCTTTTCAGTGACCTAATTATAGGAACTCTAAATTTAGGCTTCTTTGTATACTAAAAAGGTAAAGTTGGTTTGTGGGGACTACTCACACTTAAAAAATAGGTAGTAAGTATTGTACTAGTAGATATTGTCTTTCTTCAGTTTTACTTATTTGAAACCTGTGAAGAGGTTTCCACACCGTTGTAAAGCATATTTTGGTTCCACTCTCCACTAATGTGGGATCTCACAGTAATCATGTCGTAATACTCGGTTCACAAAAATAAATTTTAAATTTAGAATTTTTTCGAGATGGGTTTTTGTAGATTTATTTATTTCAAACCTTTTTTTTAAAAAAATGAAAATTAGAGGTGACATTGTGCATGAAGATGAGGGGGATAGTGTTCTAGAGGAGAATCATTCAAAGTAGTTGAAAAGGGACAAAAATTTAAGCATGAAAGGACATATAAGAGCCTTTGACAATGATTGGAGAGAGAGAGAGAAAAAAAAATGTTTTTTTTTTTTAAATAAAAATATTATGAAAGTAAGAACATAGGGCCGCTAAGCTAATGAAAACTATATAATAAAAATAAATAATGTATGTTGACCTTAATAAATTAGGGCTTCCTATAGTAACATGGGGGAGCAGTGCATGAGAAATGTATATATTTTTAGTTATATAATAAGGTTTTATTTTGGTTCATACATTATGGGTTTGATTAATGTTTGGTTTAGCTTAATTTAATTGGAATTTTTGTGTAAGGGGCAAAGTATTGTTTGGGTCCCAAAATGATTCTTTTTTCCTTCTTCTTTTGCCCTCCCTATCCTTTCAATCTATTATACCTTTCCCACTATTACAAGGCAAGAAATTAGGGTTTCTTTTTTCGAGTTTTTTTTATTCTATCTTAAATCTCGAGGTTGGAAAATTACTCGAGGTTGGTACTGTAACAACCAGAGGCCATCGCTAGCAGATATTATCCATGTTGGCCCGTTACGTATCATCGTCAACCTCACGGCTTTAAAATCCGTCTATTAGAGAGAGATTTTTACGTTTTTATAAGGAATGTTTCGTTCGCCTCTCTCACTAGAGAAAATTACAGTTATCTCCTCTCGTATATGTGGGGGAGAGAGTATGGACCCTATTATGTTTTTGATAGCCTCTTTCACACTATTTTTATAGAGAGAGATAATGGACTTTTGTGTGTTTCTTCACTTGCTTTTTCTTTTTGCTTTTTAGGGTTCTTTCATTAGAGAGAGATGTTTAGAATGGAAAAATATGTAAGCAAATGACAAAGCATGACTTCATTATTTGGAACATATAATTTTTAGAACAATAGAGTATGGATATTAGAACAAATATCAATTGGTATGAACAAATATTGAATATAGATATTACAACATATGATTGTTTAAAATAGATATCGGATGTTATGTAAAGAAATTGAATGTGGATATTAGAACATATGATTGTTAGAACCGATAAAGAATGTTATGAACAGATATTGCATATGAGTATTAGAACATATGATTGTTAGAACAGATAACGAATGTTATGAACAGATATTGCATATGAGTATTAGAACATATGATTGTCAGAACATATATCGAACGTTATGAACAGATATTGCATATGGACATTAGAACATATGATTGTTAGAACAAATATCGAATGTTATGAATAAATATGGAACATGAATATTAGAATATATGATTATTAGAACAAATATCGAATGTCGTAACCAATTGAATTATATTTGGTGACGTGTTGCAGGTAGAGATAAGATGCAGAGGGCAAGAAGTGCTTCCATTTTGGACATTGGCGGACGTAAGAGATAGGATTTGGTGTAGTTCTTCATCAGACTCACCCATCACTTGCTCTCCTCACTCCTCAACCTTAAATCACTTGATGCTCCTTCACTATGGAAGAAAGGATTAATTAATGGCTCCTAATTATTCTTTGTATTTGATTACTTTCTTAAATATACCCGTTGAAATTGTTATGAAATTTTGACGAGATTTAAGAGTTATTTCGAGATAGGGAACATATGTTAAAGTCAATTGAATTATATTCAAATTGGCTTAAAATCATTGTAAGAAAATAAGTCTATTGCAGTGATTATATATTTTGAGGTAAAGTAGAGGTTATTAACCGTTGCATCAGTTCTGCTCCATGTCGAATATTCATACCAGAATTTGGAATTTAGATTCGACACATGATGACTCCAAACAAAGAAGACTGACTCGCCCCGCCCCATGAACATCTGTCTCTAGTCTCTAGTGGTTTCTTGCCATTCATAATGATCACAAAAAAGCTGAAATGAGCAATATATGAGCCAAGTGAAAAGCAATACCCAGCTACTTCAGAAGTTGGTTGATCTTTACAATATACATGAGGAGAGAGACAAGTAATTCTGCTGTTAGTTATTTTATAAGCAATCAGAGGTACCTACCGAGGTACTGTTGAAAGGCTATGAGTCTATGTGTCATTAAACAATGCCTTGGAAACCGAACGACATAAACGATTTCCATTGTTAACAGCTTCTTCATCGCCATCTCGGTTCGCACTCTGAATCGAGTGTCTTTTTTCTGGGGTCTCACACACCATGTCGTTGCTTTCCCTATTTGGGTGCTTCCTTTTCGACTCCTTTTTAAGATGATTCGTCTTAGGTTTCCTCATCTTCGTTTGCTTCGGTGCCCAAACTCGGTGCAAATCTGGTACCCAGCTCGTGAAAGAGGAAAATCTTCTGGCCCTTTCTCTCATTTCTCGAGCTTTGATCAGTTTGCAAGTGTAGCCATGGTTGATCCCTGGAGGTTTTTCATTGTCATTTCCATGGATTTTGTTTTCTCTGTTTTCTCCTGAAACTGGATCATTGGAGCTATAGTTGTCACCGACTTCATCGCTAACTAAGTTATCTCTCCAAGAATTATTGCTATCCTCACTGTGGAGAGAGTGATTGGTAGATTTGTTCTCATCAACAAACAACAACAAATCCATTTTTTCATAGATCTTATTCACTATATCTCCTAGACTTTGGCAATACCTGAAATTTTAAGCAAAAGAGATAAAAGTGAGTCCTTCTCAATGAAAACCTCCATCCATCAAAAATCAAAATTGAATCCGAAACAAATTGTTTTATCTGACCCGAAGCGTCCGGGAAACTCATCTTGATGCAGATACATACAAATGGTGCAATGAGAGAAATAACAAGCCTGAACTTTATAAGGTACCTAACATAAGAAACAATCTAACGAAGTCATGCTCCAATCCTCCACAATTGGGAAGCCTTGATGCTTTAGTTCTTTTGGGGGAGGGGCTCCTTGCCTCTCCTCCCCTAGGCTGTTCTTTTTGTGATTAATATATAGTCCTGTTTCTTATTAAAAAAAAAATAATAATAATAAAGTTGTGCTCTAGAGTATAAATATGCTGATGAACGTGAGGAGCTGAGGGATTTAGAACCCAATTTATGAACAAGTGAGAGGTACCAAACTTTGCTGCTATAGTTTATCCATAAAGCAGTTTTTTTCAGCATACAACCTTTTTTTTTTATGTACGTGAGTGTCCAGATTAGGTTGTGTGCACCTCAACTATTTTCATGGACAGCCACCTCATTCGGTTGTCAAGGACATGATGTTAAATCTTTACATAGGTGACCATCATGACTTGAAATCATTCTCTTTTAAGTCACTATTTACATGTTCCTCATTCACCACTAGGCGAGTTAATAGTACTTGTTTCAACCTAAAACCTTCAGATTCACTGTTTCAACAGACTTGTGCAATTGATATCAATCATTCCAAAACCTCCCTCTTCTATGGGAAGAGGAAATTTTTGCACACTTAAAGAAGGTGGATATCCATTTTCCTTGCAGTCATGCCGCAGGAAGTTTCTAAAACTTCTCTCCACAAATTTGTGATCTTAGACGGAAAATGGAAAAGAGATAAGTCCTAGTCTTAATATAAATCCTAGTCTTATTACTTAATATCTAAAGATCTAATTAGATTTATTTTTTGCATTTTTTTTGCATTGTTACCTAATATCTAGATTGTTATATTGTCACATAGTTCTGTTAAGCACATGTACCTTTCTCAATCTAAAAATTAAGAAGAAATATGAGTAAAATAATCTACACTCCTAACATGATATCAGAGTCATTCTAATCCTGGGAAGTGTGATTAAATGGTGTATCCTTTATAGCTATCGATCTTCCACCTCGACCAAGTTTAGTTAGAGCCTTCATAGCTACCATTTCTTTTTTTTTTATATATATCTATATATATATATATATATATATATTATATATATATAGATATATATAAAACCAAGCTTTTCATGAGAAAAATGATAGTCACAAAAAAGCTCACAACTTACCTACAAGAACAAGCTCCAACCCTGACACTAACCTGATAATTACAAAAAGTCTCTGACAAACGAAGATCCTACTCCTGCAATCTAGAAATAACACACCACTCCAGACACAAAACCAAGGTGGTGTACCATTGAATACGATCCTAGGAGTCCACTCTTCCAAGTAGAACTTTTCAAGCAAAAAAAAAAAAAAAAAAAAAAATTCCATTTTTTAGGAACTTCTAACCTTCCAAGATATTGTCCTGTCATCAAACCATTTTTGCATTTTATTGTTCCAAAGCATCTTAGTCTGTTGGAATGCTTTCAAGATATGACACCAATCGTCCTGAAAGTTTCTCCTATGTATAAATAGTGGACGATAAGTCAACGGAAGCAAGCTTGTACAGTGTCAAAGGTGGTTAAGGGGAACTAAGGGGGCTGCCTGTGGTTAGGGGTAGGTGGGTTTGTGGCTAGTTCCATTAATTTTTTTCTGAAGAATGTTTCTGTGAGAGGTCTCATTAATGGAATGGATGAGGTGGGTCGGTAGTTGTTGGGAAGCGATTTTATCACTTTATGATTCACCACAATCGGAAAGCCTTTATCAACTAGTCTCTTCAAGAAGGGATCTCCACAACCCCTGCTTAGGGGTCTTTTTTGACTTAATATATATATATTTACTTCCAGGTTTCTTATAAATAAATAAATAAATAAATATACTTTTGTACAGAAGCAAGTACCTGCTTTTTATGATTTTTCCAACATAATGTTTTATGCTCCACTCTCCAAAAAATCCTCCCTCCAAATGGCATTGAATTGATTCTAAATGCAAGCAAATATCTTTGACAAACTTTTGCTTCATAGATTCACTAATGTTGAATATAATCAGCGATCGTAAAATCTCCATTCGAAAAAAGATCTGCAATTCATGTCTAGTGCTTGTTAAGAAAAGTGCATGAAGGAATTGGATTCAGATCATTCAACTATCAATGTCAAAAGAAATATAAGAAAACAATAAGCAAGAAAAAGCAAATAATTTGATCCAAGGATACTCTCTGACTATGCTGTCTGAGGTCTGTCCAGTGGATCCTGGACTACACTCAAAAGGGAGACCATCGATCTTGGGCTTGGTAGCCAAGTCTTCGGGCTCTCTCAGCAAGAGTTTATTTAGTTTTGTAGCAACTGCACAACTGATACTAGAATCAAACTTTCTGGCATTTGGTTGATCATCGGAAGTGCCCTGCACTTCATACTTTTGACTTAACCAGTAAATAGCTGAACTCACAAGTCGCTCTGCCAACGCACCCAAGTCAACAACTTCGGATTCAAGTCCTTGGTGGATCTTAGTGGACAGATTATTGAAAAAGTCTTCGGAAGTCTCCAAATGATGGTCAATGGTTGCTTCAGCCAATGTTTTAGAGGCCTCAGCCAAGGAATTTTCTTGACCAGATGAAGTCATTGGTTCTTTAGTTTCTTGGTGCAACTGTTTTGATCTATCATCATTTTTATCGAGAATGTCCCGCTTTAATTGCAACTCCTCAGGTAACAATAGCTCACATAAAGTGGATTTCTTAATCTGTTTTACCCAGCTTCTGAAAAATTTCATTTTCTTTGAGCTATTACAATATCTGTCGAAGTATGCATTTTCAAGTTCAATCTTCACGTGTTCAAATGCTGCCTTGTAAAAATCTGCCCAAGTGAAGTTTTGGATCGAATGTCTAGTCTTCTTCTCTGCTTTCACTTTACCATTTCCATTTTGAGAACACTTAACAGAAGGAGAAGCTTCAAAATCAACTACATTACATGATTTGTTCAAATCACCACCAAGTTTGCAAGTATTCTTGCCTTTTTCAGTCCCCACTTCTTCCAAACGCTTATCCTCATTAGTAGGCTCCAACACAAGAGGGTAGAATTCTTTGTCAATGACAAAGAGAAGAGCTGAAGAAACCATGAAAGGCTTTAAGATTCCTAAATGTGAATCACCATTGGCATTTGAAATAGACACCAATGCCCAATAACCTTCCCCATAAAGAAAACTCATAAGAAGCTGAAAAAAAGGAATAGGTTTTGGCATTTTACAATCACCCAGTTCAAGTGCCATCATTTCCAAAATCTCATCAGCAAAAAATTTTCCATTATTTCCCTGGACGATCTTTACCGGCACTTCTGAAGATTCAAGCACAAGAAATGGATAAGATAGATGACCCATGTATCTCACTAATTCGGTACACTTCTGCACAGCTTTAACATGTAGCTTTACAGCACCATCACCAAACAAAGATACTTTCCTTTGCTCATAGCCATCTGATCTTATTTTCAATCCTCCTGGTATGAGCAAAGGATCATCAGATCTATTTTCAAGCAAAGTCTTCCAATCAATCAATTCAAGATTACAAAACTTGCATTCTAGTGGCTTCTCGCTTCTATCCAAAATCTCAAGGCACAATCGAGCTTTAATATTCTTCTTAAACTTATGAATGTCAAGATTTCTCAACGGCATTACTAGCTTGGGGTAAATCAGCCCAAACGGGAGAAGAGCAGATCCTAAAACAATGGAGTTCGACGAGCAAAATCCCCAGCCTAAATTCCTAATCGTACTCTTTAAAAACCCAAATTTCACATTCAGCTCATCATTATTTATCGTATTCTCAGTAGACTCATGGTTAACATTAATCCAACTAAATTGAATATCCTTCTGTGAAAATGCAGCATTCACACTTTCAAACAACCCATAGAATCTTCTACTAAACAAATCCAGATTTCTAACACACTCATCATCCATAGCCACTCCCAGAAATCCAGACAAACATCCAACTAATTCAGAAAATGGTGAAAACAAAACAACCAAATTTTTTTTAACACCAATGCAATCAAAACATTCAGAGGGTGTACTATGTTCCAAATCTTCCATCACAGAGTCCCAAGCATAGTCGTGTAAAAGCTGACGCATCGACGCCGCAAGGCATGAAGCCTGTGAGTGCATCGGTTCAGAAGCATCAAACAATTGATGAAGTTTCAACAATGAATCAATGGCATTGGAGAGAGAGTTGAAAGTTGCAGTTGGGTGGTCGAAGGAGAGGGAAAGAGAACAACTGGGAATCAAACTGAGTCTGGAGGAGGAAAGGAGAGGAGAGAGAGAGGAGAAGAAGAATCTGAAGGAGAAGAGAGTTGAGGATGAAAAAGGTGGAAAAGAGAGGAGAATTTTAGCAGTGGAAGTTATAGCAGTGAGATATGGAGATGGGTTTTGGAGATGGTGGAGTGGGTTGAGATCTACAAGGAGGACTATTCGGTGGGTTTTGGAGTAATCTAAAACTGGACCAAACGCCATTGCTGCTTCAATCTGAAAGAACTCAAGACCAAAAAAACTTAGATTTTAATGAAATCGGGAAATGAAAACAAGATATTTGATAGTCACAATCGTACCTAAACAGGATTCCTTAAACATGCCACTTGAAGTTTCCAAACCTGTAGTATTACCTCAACTTGGTCAGCAATTTTCATTATCGCAAAAGTAAAACTACCATGAGACCACTTGTTAACATTTAGATATAACGCCTATGCATCCAAATAAGAACAATTTAATACTAATAATTGATATTTATAAAGGAACTGAAGCACTTGTTTTTTTCTTTTTCTTTGTGAAGAGCACAAAAGAACAATAAAAATAAAATTGAATACATATAACCAAATATATATAGCATTATGATAATAAGATATTGAAAAACTAAAGAATTGAGGAAGCTTATGAGTTGTAAACATATAGACTTTTATGTTACTTATTTCTTATTTCTTTTGATAAAGAAAACCCCAAGGCACAGAACCACACATGTGAGATCCCACATCGGTTGGAGAGGAGAACGAAACACCCTTTATAAGGATGTGGAAAACTCTCCCTAGCAGATGCGTTTTAAAAACCTTGAGGGAAAGCCCGTCTGTTAGCGGTGAACTTGGGCCGTTACAAATGGTATCGGAGCCAGACATCAGGGGATGTGCCAACGAGGAGGTTGTTACCCAAAGGGGGTACCAGCGAGGAGGTTGTTACCCAAAGGGGGTACCAGCGAGGAGGTTGTTACCCAAAGGGGGTACCAGCGGGTACCAGCGAGGAGGTTGTTCCCCAAAGGGGATAGACACGAGGCAGTGTGCCAGTAAGGACGTTGGGCCCCAAAGGGGGTGGATTTGGTCGGGGTCCCACATTGATTGGAGAAATGAACGAGTGCCAACAAGGACGCAGGACCCTGAAAGGGGGTGGATTATGAGATCCCACATTGGTTGGGGAGGAAAACGAAACACTTTTTATAAGAGTGTGGAAACATCTCTCTAGCAGACGCGTTTTAAAAACCTTGAGGGAAAGCCCGAAAGAGAAAGCCCAAAGAGGACAATATTTGCTAGCGGTAGGCCTGGGCAGTTACAATACGACTCAATTTGGAAAAATGTCAAAGGTCAAAGACTTTAGACTGATAAGTTTGGTCACCTCCTTGTAAACAAATCATATCCAAAGTCATGGCTGAGAGACTAAAAATGTGCTTCCTCACATCATTGATGACTCGCAAGCTACTTTGACGAAGGGAGACAAATCCTTAACGAGATATTGGTGGCATCTAAAACCATGGGAGACTGAAAAGCGAAGAGGGAAGGTTTTCTATTGAAATTCAATTTCAAGAAGGCGTACGATAGGGTTGATTGGTCATATTTATATGCGATTCTTGAGCTAAAAGGCTTCGAACCAAGGTGGAGAAGGTGAATTTTGGGTCGTTTATCGTCTACAGATTACTCCATTTTCATTAATGGGCATGCGTTTCAGTCGATAAACAACCATCCAATATTCACTTTTCTAGCATAACAGCATGGTAATTTACAATTCATACATAATCAAGTTTTGTAGAAAAGAATATAATCGAACAATATATACAAGCAAACAGTTTCTAAACATATGCAGCACCATAACACATGCAAACACACGTATTTCAGCAATCAACCGCCATAATCATGTTATTCAACAATCTCCTGCATAAACACACATCCCTCCACAAATGATAAGCCACTACGAACATCCTAAAGCGCTCCTAAACTATTCGAAAGGAGGTTAGAACATATTTCATCATCCTTAGTCCAAACCGATGGAGGATTCAAGAGGGGTTACCAATGGGTTATTTACCCAAGGTCGACCTTAATGCTAATTCGGTCTATCCGAAACTAACCCAATCCTAAATACAGAAGAGTTCCAAGGTTAGAAGGTACTTCAAACCATTTCAATTGAGTTCGAAAGAGTAAACTAAGCTTTGCCAACTACGTCTTACCGAAAGGGCCTTCGGTGCTTGATGGATTCCGTTCGAACCAGCTCAAGCTCACAATGCTGAACACTCTATGGGAATCAGATCTGAAGTCGTTGAAGTTGGTCACAGCCAAAGGTCGCTAATCAGCCAAGAAACGCGTCGCTGCTGCCTCTAGGGGAGTTCCCGCAGCCGCGATTCTGGGTGCTGCCGTCGAAACACTAGAAAAACATCGCTCTTTTTTTTTTTAATCTTATAATTAAATTAATATCTTAATATTTAAAAAAAAAAAACATCAAGACTAATATATTATTAGCAAATTCGTGTTATTTTTTTTTTAAATATAAATAACTTTAAAAAAATTAAGAATATATTTTATTTTTTATTTTAAGAGGTTCAATAATTATATTGTTTGATTCCCAAACTTTAAAATTGAACTATTTTTTCTTAATATTTTGACACTCTTTAAAGTGAAACTAATTAATAGAAATTAGAAAATTCAACAAATAAATATATATATTTTAATAATAAATAATAAATAATAAATAATAAATAAATAAATATCTTTGCTTTGTGCTTGAGCTAAAATCGAGCTCTGTTTCTATCCTCTCCCTTTAAAACCTCAACTCTGCCCGCCAGAGCTTTTTTCTTGCCGTTCGAGGCGTCTCAAATGACTTAGCCGGGCTTTGCTTGGTCATCCATGGCTATGGCATTTCCTGCCCCAGGGCTTGCTTGGAGGATTCACTGCACTCGCTCTCCGCTGCTCTTTTGCATTCGCAAGGTCTCTTTGGTTCTTATCCCCTTTTTTTACGGATGATTATTCGCTTATATGTTAGCTGTGGTAGATTCTTTCATATATGTGAACCTGCAATTGAGTGTTGTGTACGTGAGCGAGAACAAAAACTGATATCTATAGTTAGGAGAGGTCATTCATGGAGATTAGAATGAGGGTTTTCTTATGTGTATTGGCTGAATTGGAATGTCTCTCTCTGGCCATTACCATGGAAGTTGAACTCCTTAGTTGAACCACTCAACCTGTGTGCTCAGTTCTCTGTTCTTTTCTTTGTCTACATTTTGATTGCTGCTGGTGTGTTCAGTTCTTGCGTCTTTCTTGGGTATCTTAGATCAGAATTTTTTTAATAAACTACTGAATCCACACTGTAGGCGCGAATTCAAAGTTCTGTAGTCATTGGGTCTACTACTGAATCAGCTATTCTCTGCAAGGAGGAAGATAAAGATTGTATTTCATTTGCTTTGCGTAGAAAAGGTAAACAGAATAATTCCATCTCTTATCGATATGTGTTTTTGAATTTCCAATTCATCTGGTAATTGAATACATTAGCTCGGAGTATTGAAGCTTTACAATGTACACTAACCTGATGTATTTGATTCTGAATGGAGAAGAAATAGAGCGGGCTGATAGCTCAATACCTCAATGGAAGACATTGAGTTCTAAGGATCTTGGGATTGATACATCAATGATTTCAAAGCCCACGCGAGTGGTTTTAAATGGACTGAGGAAACAAGGTACTCTTTATTTTTATGGAACGATGTTTGGCGTTTGTAATGCATTAATTTGGTGGCTAACGTTTGAACACTAGAATGAATAATCTAAAGTGCTGCCACCTTGCATTCAACCTCCATATTCCATAATCTGAGTTTGTGAAATATTTACTGTTGTCCAACCCTTCACAAGACCGGTTCTTCCATGTTTAAAATAAAAAATATTACATGTCAGGTTAATAGTAGTATAGCCTTGAGAATTTTATTTCAGAATTTTGAAACTTTATCAAAAGTTTTAGTGATAGGATGACTTTTGAGCTTGATTTTCAGCATTGAGTACCTGGATGCTCTTGATGTTCAGCTAGTGACTGATGTAAACACATGTAATTGAGTTCTAACATTTTTCTTTTATTACCTAATCTTTGTCGGTTTATTTTATGTTACTTCTGACGTGTAGGGTATGAGGTCTATCTTGTTGGTGGGTGTGTTCGGGATCTTATCCTAAGGAGAATTCCTAAAGACTTTGATATCATAACTTCAGCTGAACTAAAAGAGGTTCTATCAGTATTTTTTTGGTTGTTTTTACTTGGAATTTTGTTATATTTGGCATGATCCTATAGGAATTTTTGTATGCAGACAGATTCTTGCAGAACTTAGTTTCCTTTGAAAAAGTACTTCTCATAATGAATTTGTGAGGCTTAGTGAAGATATATATAACTTGATCTCTTGGAAGTTGTTTTCAAAAAATATTTCCTACATTTTAGAACAAAAAATCAGCGAAAAAACAAACAAACGAAGAATAAGCGGTTTTTAGAAGTTATTTTCTCATATTTTCTCTTAGTTTGTTCTCATGAATAAAGTAACTAATGTTGTCCTTCCTTTGAAAATTAGGGGTGTGTAAATAGTTTCTGTACTATGACCTTCATAGTGCAAGTCACCGTAGTTCTCTCATTAGTCTTTAAAATTATTATTCTTCCTTTCTGGTTATCTTTTACATCATTTTTCCATTGTGCTAAACTTTTATTTGGCTAAAGTTCATTAACTTATGTAGGTACGGAAAATTTTTACTCGATGCCTAGTTGTTGGCAAACGGTTTCCAATTTGCCATGTATATGTGCATGACACTCTTATAGAGGTTGGTTGATTAATTATTTCTATCCGTTGCTCTAAAAAGGCTATATTTTGTAGTTCTTTGCTAATGGTTAGCTTCAATACAATTAATGGCATACTCATTTTTCATTTTTGGTGCATTATGGAAAGGTTTCGAGCTTTAGCACCTCTGGAAGAAGGAATGGTTTTAATCATTACATTAACAAACCTTCCAACTTAAAGGAGCCTGATTATATTCGCTGGAAGAATTGCTCTCAGCGGGACTTTACCATTAACAGGTTACGCGACAAGATTCCTTATGTCTTTTTGTTGTCTTCATTTTCTTTTATAAATAAGAAAATAGAACTCTGATATTGATATAATACTTTTTAGCTATTTAAATTTTTCTTGACTTCCCTGTACCAATGGTTCTCAGGTGTAAATGTAGGCTGTAACGTTTTAGTGTATATGTCTTCTTAATCCTTGCAGTTTGATGTATGATCCATACAAAAAGGTTGTATATGATTATTTGGGGGCAATGGAGGATATAAGAAAATCCAAGGTGTGCGTTTATTGAACCAGATTCAGTTCTAGAGTTCTTCCAATGAGTTGTTGAGCATGTGTAATTTTTGTTTCCTCTTGCTTCTGGATGAAGGTGCGAACTATAAAACCTGCAAATCTTTCTTTCACTGAGGACTGTGGTGAGCAAATGTTTGATACAGTAATGTTTAGATCTGGGTACTTTTAAGTATCAAGAAATAGTATGGGAAACATTCTTTTTTTTCTTATTTACCCATAGGTGGCATGCAATCTTAATGTATTGAAATCTAATTCCACAGCTCGAATTTTACGTGCGGTGAGAATTGCAGCCCGATTAGGGTTTCGTTTTACCAGAGATATAGCACTTTCCATAAAAGAGTTATCTTGCTCCGTGTTAAAACTTGACAAGGTATCTTACTTTCCAAATACTGGGTTTATGGTTTGTTATCTCCTTAGGCCACGTTTCAATTTATTTTTTTTAATGTTACAGGGGAGAATACTTATGGAAATGAATTATATGCTAGCATTTGGGTCTGCAGAGGCTTCTTTGAGATTATTGTGGAGATTTGGACTTCTCGAGATACTTCTTCCCATCCAAGTATATAATTCTTGTTCTACAATTTCTTTTTGATGTTAAACACAAATTTAGTGCTGCAATTTTTTCTTTTCTTTTTCCCCCTTAACCTAATTAGTTATTGTATCTTGTAGGCATCATATTTTGTTTCCCAAGGATTCAGGAGGCGTGATGCAAGCTCAAATATGCTTCTGGTTAGGGCTGCCATATTGTTCGTTATTACAATTTATTATGCCATGTTCTATCTATGAGAATAACCCAATCTTTTCCTTCTAGAAAAAAAAAAAAAATGTTGAACAGAATGAATCTGGTAGAAACCCTCCAAGGGAAATGTCGATTAACTGATAAAAGAGAGAAAACAGCCAAACTCTACAGAGTTTCACGAGGTCTGGGTCTCTCCTTTTCCTACCACAAATCTTGCCTATCTTCCTACTCTATAGAAGGAAAAACTAAAATTCATTTCTGTAACTTTCTAACAGACTATTGACCAAGTAGAATCTTACAATAGATCACATCCTCTCCCCGCACAAAATTTCCGACTTTGTATATTTCCTTCTTATTCCTTATAGAACGTGTGAAGAGCGCACTGTTTATCTGGGTTTCTTCTTCCTATCAGAATCCTTAGATTTAAGTACATTTTTCTTGCTCTTTTTTCCCTTGTACCTGCAATCATTGTAAGCCATCTAGGTGGACTCCTCGTCATATATGGGGCTTTCTAGTGCATAACCCCAGGTGTGGATTTTTGGAACCCTGTCTTCAAGAAGACTCGAAAATGGTTTTCCTCTTGAAAATGTCTTTTTCTCTAAAGGAGGAAGGATGGTCCTTATTCAGTTAGTCTTAAGTGGGATTCTGACTTGTTTCCTATTTTTGTATACCTCGGTATCAGTTAATAAGAAGTTGGAGAGGTTGATGAGAGACTGCCTTTGCTAAGGGGTTGACAAGGCGAAAAGTCTAATCTTGTGAGTTGGGATTGTGGTTTCTAGACCATTGAATTTCAAGGGACTAGGAGAGGGTAACTTAGGCGTCAGAACGAAGCCCTGTTGTCTAAGTTGGTGTGGCTCTTCTTCTTAAAGTCCAATTGGGTTCTCTAAAAATTGCATCCATTATTCATCTTGTAACGACCCAATTTTCAGTAACTTGAATCATAGGTTGCCACATACACTCAAGGGTAAAAAGGGTAGTAACATTTTCTTTTATAAAACAAGATACACAAGGAATTTAACATTTAAATATGCATTCAAAATCGACATAGAAGTAGTTTAAAGGTAATATCCGCAGAGCCAAGTCAAAACGGTTTTAAAAATACACAAGTTTCGAGAAGTAGCATTTAAAATAATAATAAAATTACAAGAAGAAAAACAACTCGATCTAAAGGGCACCCCCTGCAGCTGCACGACTCCACACGCTCCCACCATCAATAGTGGTCTACACTCCATTTGAAAAAAAATAGAATAACATGGGAACAATATAAAATATTTAGTAAGCAACCTACTTGTAGGCTCTTGTTGGACTTAATTCTATACACG